ATCTCATATATTAGTTTCACCTTTTAAGTTGCATTACTGAAATAAATGAACTTTTGCACGATATTCTAATTTTTCGAGTTTCACCTGTACATGTATGCATGTACGTATAATACATACATACTGAGAAAGATAAAGAGACAGACTCTGGAGGAATACCCTATTGTAACTCAGTATAGATATGTTTAAAATTATACTTTCAGTCAATCTATTTGTTCTTCGTTGTCTTTCTGTGAAGCTGCGTATTGTTAGGAAGTGAGAGCCAATGAAGAATAAGTTGAACGAGGACTGGTGAGACCCAGGTTAGCTGCTTTTTTAAAAAAAATATTTATTTATTATTAGATTGGAAGACCACCTTCCAATCCAATAAGAAATTAATTCCAATTCACACAAAGAAAACCAGTCAAAAAAATTATATGTCCAGTAAGTAAAACAACCAAAATACAATTAAAACCACCGCCACTACCACCACCACCAACAAAAACCTAACAAAAGCTCAGCATCTATCCTAATTCCAGGCCTTGGAGCAGAGCAATGTTTTAATGACTTCTGGAACAACTCTAGAATCAGTCTGTATAAATCTTGGGATATGAGGATTGTTCTACAGAAGGCACCTGCAGCAGGCATATTCTTCTCAAAATCTTTGATTAAGTAAATAACCAAGCTCTATGCCATGTGTAGCATTATAGGTGATGACCAGTGCTCCTTGAATTGCATCCAGAAAGTAGCTAGAAACCAGTGTATCTCATAAATCAAGGATGACACACGGTTCAACATACTGTAACTTTGAAGTCTTCATTCAGTTATGGAAGCTTGAACAGTAACTTTAGGTCTACTATTGTCTTGTAACCCAACCTATTTTCCAAACTGAATCCAAACAATAGTGATTTGATTGCAAAGATTTAAAGAGAAATATAAAATCTAATGCCCTCTGCCTCCTGTTCCCTAGTCTGAAATTTTTGTAAACAATGTAAGTTTTCTTTCTTTTGCTATAGTTGCTACCACACTGAGCTTTGTACAGCTTTGAAACTGTGAAGAAGCAGGCTGACGTTTGTGAAATCTAGAGCAGGTTACTCTAGACTGCTCTATCCCAAGGAAATTGATACGGTGTCTAGGTTGATGATATTTCCAATTCATTTCATAACATAAGAGCTATGGCTTTCCATATATTGGTTTCCAGCTCCAATCAGTCATATCCAGCTTATAATTAATGTGAGAGACAGGGAACTATTGTGGGGTGCCACAGATTTCCTCAATAATGAATCATACTCTGCCATCAACAAATGTCCTGTTTGAAGCTAGTAATCAGGATTTTCGATCCTTAGTCCATTTTTCTTAATATAAAGACCTTAGCACATTTTGAAATGATAATGCTCAAACTCCCCACCAACACAGTTGATGAAATTGCTATCTTGATATAATCCCATCAACATATTTGAAAAGCACCCATTTGGGGAAGTTTGACTTAGAATATTGGCAAGATAAGTACTCAGGTTTGGAAGGATTTAGAATATAAATTGTCCCATTATATTAGAAGAATTGTATAATTCCTCCATCAAATAGCTAGATAAAATCTGAAATAATGCAAGAATGCAAACTTTTATCTTCCAATGCAATATAAGAAGGAATAAAAGAAAAAAAAGCAACAGGAATGATAAAACATATTTGGAATTGCATTTGTATTTCTTTAACCATGTAATAAAAATCTAGAGATTGAAATCAAGGGTGCTCACAGATAACAGTGTTCTGGGATTGTAATTTTGAAACCTGTTTTTTTACATCAGAACTATAATTTTGGAGAGTTTGGCTTATATTTAAAGGGCTATTGGAAAAAACAACTAATTTCATATATTAGCCCTCATTTCTTGCTTAGTTAACTGACATTGCTGACACTGTTTTCATGTTCCATTCCACCTGGCTTCTGAGATTTATATATAGTTAATTTCAGAACCACCTTATGTGCAGACTTTTTGATTCATTCAGTTAATCTTCCCCTTGAATATAAGATATGGGCATGCATGATTGACTATGCACATAAAAAGCATCCCCTTTAATTTAATGGAAAACACAGCCATTTAATTTCAGCTCCTTTGCTGTCCTGAAAAATTCCCCAATGAGATATGCACATCGAGGAAAAACAGATTGCCTGAAAGCAAGGTAATTAATTTCAGGAAAAGGCAGGGCCCGTTTGATAGCCTCGCTTTGATAAAGATAAGGAGATTCACATCTGGAGTGCGATATCCATTGGTGTCCTTAGGTTTTGAAACACTGAACATCGTCCACCTGTTAGCAATCAGTAAATGGAGCCTCCAGCTAGACTATCAAGTGCTTTAACTAAAAGAAATGGCAGTAAATTGTGCACAGAGTTGCTTGATTAAAAAAAGAGAAGGGACAAAGTTTTGGGGCATGTTATCATTTCACACATGAAGGTACTAGTTTTTTAAGGGTATGGAGAGACATGCAAATAAACTCAATGGCTTTGTGTGCTTTAGTGGAGCAGAATAGTTACTTCCCTATAACTGTTCTTGGATGCACAGTAATCATCTGTCTCATTCTCTGTTTCAGAAGCAATTCCAGTCTAGACTTTTTGCCATGAATTTTACTGCAGGCTAAGTAAATGTATCAGTTCTGAACATTCAAGGACACAGAGTGGGAAACCTTTATTCTCAAATGCTGGTCTTTTAAGCTAAAAATAACATTTCAATTCCTTAGATCCATGGCAAAACTGAAATGGAAAGTACTTCTGTTTATTTAAAACATTTCTATTCCATGTTTATCTTAAAGAACTGAAGGTTGCTGACAATTTAAAAATATCTTGCCACCTCCCTTTATCATATACACTGTAATCATAGACTCATTTTCCTGGAATAGGTGTCAAGGAGAGATAAAAATTATGAGGATTTTGAGGAAGTGGTAAGAGTTTCAGTTCAGCCACAGGGCATTCAGGGATTGCATTTTCCTCACTTTTCAAAATGGCAGGACTTTTTATGCAGTTCTGCCTTCATGATTCTTATCAGCCCAGCCAGCATTCTTCTTTACCTATGCATGCAAAGAAAAATATTGGATGAAGGTAATGTGAATTCTGAGGGATGGAAGGTGAGAAAGAAGATTTGTAAATTATCTCAGTCCAAAGGTTTTTAGTTCCAACACTGGAAGTTTTTAAGAAGACGTGTCTAAAGTGGTGTAGGGTTTCCTGCCAAGGCAGGGGGTTGGTGTAGAAGACCTCCAAGGTCCTTTCCAACTCTATTATTATATTCTAGTTCTGGTATTCTAGAGGTCAACCAGGCATAAGTTGGTTATTATCCTAATAGCTCATTGACAATATGCAAGAAAAAGGACAGATAATAAGGTTCTCCAGATTCAGCTCACATTTCATCTTCTCTGTGTAAACAACAAATCAGACATGAACCCATCTATGTGTGTTACATCCACTATTACCTGTAATATGGATGTCATGATCTCACAAGTCATTGTGAAATCCACCCCCAGAGTGTGAGAATTCATGCATCTCAAGATCAAAACCTTTGGGACTCCAATACCAGCTCTGAGATGGCACTCAGGTGCTTATGAATAGTCCAGACTGTCACTGTGGCCCAATTTAACAGACACACATAATAGTCATCTCCAGGCTGATGCTGCAGCAACACCCCCCCTTCACTCTTGGCAATGTGTCTTACCACATGTAACAATGCTTTACATCTTAAATTGCAACCATGTGCAAACTTCCTCAGCAGTAAATTCTGTTAAACTCAACTGAATCCAATTTTAAGTGAACATGCATGGTATTGTACCAGCTTCAAAATACTTCATTCTCTTTGCTGTTGTTATATTACTTCTATTTTGCCACCAAGTAAATATGGAATACTAAAAAGAATCCCTAAAGTATTATCTGTTTTACAGTCTGATTCTATTTTAGAAGTCTGTGACAATCAGCTATTGAGCCGTTCAGGAGCTCTATAGCCTTCATAACTCAACATTTTTCTTCTATACTCTACTTGCACACACATACACAAAAAGGTTTTATGGTGAGCATCCACATTTATGCCTGCCAAGTAAAAAAGAATGCATCATCTCTGGCAAAGAGTTTCATATTAACACTGTTTAGACATAGCAGAGATGTAAGCAACATATTGAAAATAAAAGTGTACCAACATGTATCCAAACAATGCATTGCACAGTCGACCATAAAATAATTATCTACAAATCAGAAAAATGTCACCTATGCCTACCAGTCACTTTCCCTAAGGTCAGTGATTTGATGGCTCTGAATTCACCCTCGGAGGAAAAGTTGTGTTTGACTTTGAGAACCTGGTCAATCTGGAAGGGAAGCAAAAATGCATGGTATTAACAATACTTTCATAAGCAAGTAAAGGGCGTATTCTTTTGTTGGTATGCAATTTTTTTTCACGTTTATATTTCACTCCAACATGAGGCTCCTGTCAGGGAAATCTTCCCCATGTTTGTACAACACTGAGATTTTGAGAGCAGCTCAATAAATCCCCAAGCTTGTAGCTGTCAACTGTATCATTCCAATATCTGTGCAGGTCAGACTATGTTGGGAAGCTGCCCAATTTGTTTTCCTAGGACTCAATTTAGCGTGGATTCTTAATCAGGTTGACACAGCTTCTGTTTTTAGTTTCTTATAATTATGGATATTCCTATGCCAAGTCATACACAATAGCAGAACAGCATCTGAGAATTGGAGGACTGCAAATCAACAGGTGTTTAGAATTCATTGATCTTTCATTTTTTATGTGCCAAAGGACAGAATTATTAGAATAATTCACAATCAGCCTTCTGACCAAAGATGTCTTATATTGTAATTAGCACAATAGACAGAATTATGTTATTTTGGAAAATTCGTTTTGAAGTCATTAATGCAAACCTACTGAACTGTGTTCTCTGAAATGCAGGGTGAGCCAAATGCAAAATACATCTTCATGAATAATTCCCTAAAGAAGAAGATCCTTTTAACATTGTAATTCTTACTCAGCCTATAAATTTAGCTTTGACTTAAACATATCATGAAGCTCATTATATTTCTTTATTGCATTCTAGATAAAAAATCAAATGTCATATCAGGAGCCACTTTTTTATTCTTTTTGACATTTTTCTATCATTCTTCCTTTAGATTTCTCCCATATCTATATCCATGGCATGTACCAACATGCTTCTTTTGTTGCTGATCATTCACACTCCAAATATAAGTTCTATTCTCTGGCTTTCTTCTACCTTAGTAATGCATCAAAGTATGTGTTTCTAGTCTTCTCTACTCCTTGGTATGAATAATTTAAAGAACTTTACTACAAACATCACTGGGATCCCATCAGTTTTTATAAGGGAGGGAGATACAAAAAATTTTTATTTCCATATGTGTTTCTATTCTCCAATATCTGCATTTTAGGCATGTGGAGGGTAATGTTCGATTAGCAGAAAGTGACCAAGGCTTACAAGCCTACTTTAGCAAATATACCAATTGACTTAATTTTATTGGCTAATTATAAATTGGAATAAAACAAAATTAAGATACATCAGTAAATATTAAATCCCTAAATTGAATATTATGCTAACAGAGAAAGAAGCAGAGTTCTTGATTCTATCTGAGCTTTGTTGTCTGCTTGTATATGTTTCAAATGTCTCAAACAAACAAACAAACAACTTCAGAAAGCACAAAGAACTCCAATTGTTTAAGCATCCTTCAGTATAAGATATACCAAAATTTAATACATAACCACATACTGGCCTTTCAATTACTATTTCTAAAATCCTCCACTGACACTAAATCCTTATGTCCATAATATTTAATAACAAAGTTTTCTAATCCTCCTTTCCAAATCACTGTTTAAAATTTACGTCGAGTTTCCTTATATTATACCCATATCTATATACACATTGTTATTCTTATCCTTCCTTTATTTGACTATATTCTGTTTCATAACATTTCCCCCCTAATAATCAA